ATATATATATATATATATATATATATAATTATAATAATTCACTACTTATTATACTTAATAAATTATTAACTTACTTTCAATTAATTTCAAGCTTTGGCATATCCTAGTGGAATGAAGCTGCAATTAAGGCATTACCCTAACATATATTGGTAGACAGTAGGTTTCAAGACTATCAATAAATATTAAATTAGAACGAGTATGACCTTGAGCTCGTATTCATAATCAAGAGGTAATCACAAATTCCGACTAAATTCGAGTGGTCATCGATATCCTGACTAAAGAAATCTAATGAATATGAGACTTGAAGAGGGCACGATCAGCGAAAACTTTGCACATTGTCTAAGCAAATTGGGAGGAGATTAGGGAACAGCAAGATCACCAAAAAGAAGACGACAAGATCAAAGAAACATTTTGGCCATGAGGAAGAGAAATCGCTAGGAAGAGGCTACAGGGAAACCATAAGAAATCAAGAGGAGACGTCTACAGTAGAACCGCAATATTTGGGGGTTGGCAAACAAGAGATGAGAGCATAGGATGTTATAGTGGCATAATGGAGAGAAGCACGATAAATACGGATGAGACTAGAGATAGTTGATTCACCGTAGACGCGTTTGATCATAGACATGGTCTGTGAAGTAAAGCATAGACACGAGATTTAACCGATGTACAAGTTGAGCAGTGATAAGGGAGACTTCAGCGTCAAGTTAGGTTTCCATGCCACATAAAAATCCTAAGTTTAAGGACTTGCTCTGTGAGGCTGGCGTATACATGCTATCAAAGGCCTGAGGCATAATGTGGAGGATAACACCTCAAGTAGCAGGGATAGGATGGCAGTGATCGAGTGAAATCACTTAATCGCGGCAAGAGGAAGATTCTGATAGTACCTTGAGAAAGAGGATCGCGGACTAAAATGACAGACTTTGATCAACACTATTAGCACATTGGGGATAATGAAGGAATAAACGGGGAGTGTGAATAGGTTTCACTAAATCCGCTCAAAAGGTACACCTAAACAAGGTTTAGATAAGGAAATAAAAAAATGTGATAGTCAAAGGGTGTTACGAGGACATAGGATATATAAATACACCAGGACAGGGGGATACCACAACTGTGTGGCAGACAATTGGTCAAAAGATCGACTTCGCTTATTACTTTGGCGAGTTGTAATGTGGTACTAAGACGAAGAATCTGACTACGATGACGGCGAACCGTCAGTCTCTGGAAATTATCATGGATATTATAGACAATATGTTTTTCTCTAGGTCGCCCTGATCATACACAACCAGAATGCGATATTAAGTTCAAACCACTAATAAAAGTAATTCTTACACATTTTTATACCATTTTTTTCCATATTCAACGTATTCTATTATATATTAATTGCGATAGCCACTCTTATCTTGTGCTTCGCAGCAGACATACCATAATCAAGTATAACTTTGTATCTAAGATCATTCTATCTCATGTCTAGTCTCAGTCATATGCTCAGCCACTTATGATCGTCCGGCACAGTTGCCTCTACAAGCATTTTTGTCCTCGCCACTCTTTGGCGGATCTGCCCACATGTCTCACCAACACAAATTCGACCACAGAAGTACACTGTTGTAAAAGCCGGATCTTAATAATGAGTTATATTTCTCTGTCAAAGAAGCCATAATTTAAAAAAGATTCAGAGTTTTTTTCCAAACTGTTTCTAGACATTACTTCTGTACCGGTTTACCCAGCTTCTTGGAAAAAAGACATGACGGAAAGATTAGATATGACAATGGGTTTCAGCTTTTCAATCTCTGACCAAATAGTCTCTGTCTAAAAAAGTATTGTTGACAAAAAAGAAGATAATTATTTTTCCGAAATAAATAGTTCAATCTTCTTAACTCTTCGGTCAGATGATTCTCATCCGCAGGCGTCAGACAAAATATTACAATTTCAGTCTTAGTTTTGTAACTACGGTTTAAAGAAAATTAGAACAAAACCACCATATACTGGTTTCCTCTCTCTTTCTAACTTATTATCGCCCCCAATAACTATGACAACCAGAAAAGGTAACCATTTATTCTCTTCTAATTCCTTTGTAAACTTAATATTTCTTCCTCGCAGGTTAAGTTAAAGTAGGAAACTATCTAAACCTTGGATTATAATATCTTTTGGGAAGCAATGCTACGTGAAATTCATTGGAAGCGTAAGGTTTATTCATACAATTGTGGGAAATTGTATTTACTAGTCCTCTATCGTCTTAAATGAAATAGGGCGAACACATCTTAAATATCCCAACTGTTCTTAAACTGCTGTCCTATCACAAAATAATCATCTATATAGCTAACAAACAATGTAAGGAGCAGAATTACCTTTTGCATTAAACGCACTTCAAAACTTGCCCTATAATTATTTGCCAATATTAGGGTTAAGCAAGAACCCATTGCAAGTCCTAGCGACCGTTTATAAAATTCATGGTCAACAATACAACGGGAATCAGCCATCGTCTTCTGATGAGATCGATCTACGAATCTCTTCCTCATGCATTATCGCATCACCATCACACCATATATATGTGAGGCTTAGCCTGACTTTAAATTTACCGACTGACACTGACGACAATGGGTTGCAGTGAAAAGTATCAAAATTATACACTGCCCTACCAGTCTTCGATCCCCGCAGTAGGTGAGGCTTTAACTGTAACCCAGTCCATTCTGGATAAGAATAGCTTTTGGTAGCAAAGCTAAGCGAGCTTCAACCAGTTCGTGAGCCATACTCATTTTTGTCTGGAACGATTCACTATCAACCCTTTATCACCTTATGCGACGTAAGGTGACTAAATCCTTTTATAGGACTGAAGGTTAATTTTTTCAAAAAAAAAACTATAAGTGGACCCTAGGATGCCATTTAATTTAATTTACTCTTGCCTACAGAAAAGTATTTATATCCAGGCAGCTTCGATTTAGAGTGGGTCTCATCAGCACTCCAACAAGATTAGACAACGGGTCGTGAGAATGATGATGACGTTACTTATACTCTATACAGCTACGGGTGCAGATAGGTCACAGGTTAGCTGAGATATTCAGGAAAAGCCAGGTCCCTCCTAACTCACGTGCATACTAGGATTATGGATGAAGCGAACATGTATTTTCCATTGCAACAGACGAGGTTACACATTTTTTGCATAAGTTTCGAGACTATTAGTAATTCTTAAATATGAACTTAGCCAGCTTAGGTCACAAATCACTTCGAAAAAAAGAAAAATATACAAGGATTCCACAAGGCCGTTAGAATGACAGAATTGGAAATTATGTCAAAGTTTACATTATCTCCAGTGATTTAAATCTGTTATATTAGCTCTGGAGTCCCTTTTATTTGGTTATTATTTTTAATTGGATACCGTTGGTAAGAGCATAATATTTCACTTTCTAAAGCGGCTCATCATGACCATATGATAGCCCTGGTTAGCCACTAAGAAGTAAGAATGCAGAAAGATGATTCTGCAAATTGGCTGAATAGTTGGGCAGGATAAATTACTTCAGCATAAATTATTTTCTTTACATTGCACGAAAAATTCTAGAGGGTTGTGACAAATTTCCATATCGAAGAAAAGGTTGGTTGGAAGGAATTCGTCATGTGGTCTCACTGGAAAGCGTGCCGCGTAGGGAAGGCTGTTGTATTGAACGAAGAAGCCCTCGACTCCACGCTCTACGACCCCGATGAGCATATGCTGAGCTTTCGCCTGTACCACCATGACAGACATCATCAGAGCAAGAATCCACATTACGAAATTGAGCAAAAATATACTAAACCAATAGAAAGCTGGTCGGCTGCAACCTTAATCGCTTTATTATACGTTTAACTTCACGATCTCAATATGGCATCTAATGATTTCGTTGACACCATCAACCTCATATCAGATGTATTCACCCAATTTCATTTAAGCTGATGAAGGACTGATAGTTAAATTTTCACACAATGATATGAGTAGAGCTAACATTTATATTGAATTTCACATAGCCTTACTTTCCCAAAAGATGATCTCATCCAGGGTGGACCGCAATTTCCACCTCGCATAGGTCTTAGCAACACCCCCAGCGGGAGTCGAACCGTGGCCGGGCAGAATGTGAGCTTGACACGTAACCACCTAGCCACATTGCCACGAGTGCCCTTGGGTCACAGGGCAGATGTCAATTTCAAGGAAGACCTGACCTTTTCCCATATCACATTTTGGGTGGGGTTTGTCGATGAAGCAAACGTATTTTTGCTAAAATAATCGACTTTTTTTCAAGACTACTAGTAAATCAGTTATATGATATGTATTCATCGACTCATATAACTGATTTACTGGTAATCTTGAAATTCTTCTTATATACCCACATATAAATATTGAATAATGGATGCAAAAGAAAAATCACATGCAAAACCACACTATCTAAATAAACATGGTAAAAATTGTAATAGTGAAGGCTGATAGGATGCTACCGGAAACACGAATAACCCAGGGC